AAAGGGAGATATTTATTAGTAGTAGTGAGACCCTATCCTATTTTAAATAGCATAGAAGAAAGCCGCACATTGCGCACTGATCTTAACGTAATTAGATCGGGATTAAAGAAATTAATAAAAATAATTAAAGAGTTTGGTTGAACACATCCGTTACGATACCGTCAAGAGTCCGGCGGAACGTAACATCGCACTGCACCATGATCCTAAAAGCAACTGGATCGAATCATTGAAATATTGAAATAAACGTTGGTTGAACACCCACATCACGAGATTACCTACCTGAGCCCGGAACTCGTGACAATGAATAAAAATAAAAGTAATTAAAAATAATGTGTATCCAAATTAATAATATGATCTACATTTTATATCTAATCTAATTAGCGAAACATTAAGTATTAATGTAAATCTGTGTTAATTTCTAATATATTATGCAAGAAATGATAAACATAACACGAAAAAGGATAGACATGATACAAGAAATTACAAGAGTATGTGAAAATTGTTACATAAATTACGAAAAAGTAATTTGTAATATTATCACTATCTGTTCTATTTTAGATATTATTTGCTATATTCAATATAATCATTCAAAAAACATAAAGAAATGAGTGTTTTAAATATGTTCATATTCATCTCTTTTACTTTAAGTTACTTCTATGAATTTATTGAAATTATTATTATAGTAGTAACATAAAAATCGCAAATTCAAAAATAATCGAAAAACATAAAAATCCTAAAAATATTCATATAATAGTAAAATCTTCTAGTATTATTTTACTTTTTATTATTTCACTTTTTATTTTTTTACTTTTATTATTTCACTTTTTCAATATTTCATTTTTTATTTTTTTATATATATTATTTCACTTTTTATTTTTTACTTTTTAGTTATTTTACTTTTTGTAATTTCGAAAAATATATAAATAGAAGTGCTATCTAAGCCTTAACTCAACATGTTGTAACTGAAAATAAAAATCTCTCTTAACAAAAATCTTCCTTCAAATACTTCCTGTCTCTCATATTTTCTTTATACACTTCAAATCTTGTGTATAAGTAATCTTATATCATATTGAATCTATTAAATTACTGATAGCTTTATTATTGAAATTAGATTATAAGTATTTTACTTTTTTTGTTATTTGAAATTTTAATTGTCAACGAATATTTCTCATTTGTGAGAAGAACAAAGTAAAAAAGTCTTTGTTATTATTATTATTAATTATATTATCTTAGTTCTAGAAAGCTTTATACAAGTATAGAATTACTCTTTGAATTCTCTTTGTTATTTATTTATATACTCTCTCCTCTTTGATTTTTATTCTTCCACAACTCTCTCATATTATTATTTCTTTTCAAATAAATACAATTTCCATAAAAATTGACATAGCTTTTAGATATCTCTCTTTTCTCTTAATATTTTCTTTATCAGTTTATACTCTCTCCTAATTCAGATTCTTGTTTATAAGCTAATTTCATAATTAGTGAACAAACTTGTAACATCATTTCACAATAAATTAAAAAAATTAATTATAAGAGAATATGACTTAATTGATAAGTATTATCAACTGTTATTATTAATTATGATTACAACTTGATTTAATTATTATATTACATTTTTCTTCATCATTATTACCAAATTACTGCTTCTTGATTTGTTAATAACATGTCACAAGATCATTAAACTCAATAATAAAAAATAGTTGAATTCAGAGAAAATTTGAAAATTTCTCTACTCAATCCAAAAGCTAATTTTAGATGAGACTGTCACTATAAATATTAGAATTATAAAAGAAAAGCCATCATTAAATCTAACATCACCAAATTGCCATTGCATATTTTTTTATTACTATCTTCTTTCTTATCAATATATTCTTCATGAGTATCTATTTGATTATAATAAGTTACTAATAACTAATATTTAGGAGGAATTTCAACAATTATTTGCAGAAACTGGTTTTGAAATATATGAGCATCAGGAGATGATTAAAATATCTGAGTCTGTTCAGACTCAAGAGGAAAAAAAACAGAGATATATAAATTACAAATGATTGAGCTTATAAAAAAAATGCAAGATAAATACTAGATAATGGAGAATAAAAATGATACAGATACCACTAAAGCATTTATCATTTGTTTAGATAAATTGTTGGATCTGGTTTTTAAAATAGCAATATAAAGAATTTTGTATTTAATTGAAAAATAATATCAATAAAGTAATTAATTAGATAATTAGACATTTTTAAGTGATTTACTTTTCTTTTTTTTTTCTATTGATATATATATATTCCTAACACTTTTAACAATTAAATAATAATAATCTCTTTTCATTAATATGTATTTTCTAACAATTAGCACTCTTAAAATAATGTGTTATAGTTCACATTATTTGATTCGACCAATCATGAATTTTCACATGATTTTAATCACATGATACGATCCGGATCGAATCATATGTCACATGATACTACCCCGCTTTAGTGAAGATCTGGTACTGATCACGTGGCACGAACTTTTGAAAAACCAATTGCCGGCACACAGATTTTAATTACATGATGAGGGGATTCCTAGATATTAGCTAATATCACTCACATACTATGTCAACATTCGAAGATTATCTAAGTAAAAAATACGGCACATTACCTGGTGGCCGAGTCTCAGCAACCACCGAAGTCACGAAAAAGAAAAAAAAGAAACGTAAAATAGAGGGTGTGAATTCCGTTTCGTCCGAGGGAAAAGGCTATGCAATCATCGATGAAGAAGAAATCACTAGTCAATGGAAAAAAATCAATTCTGCTGACGAAGATGAACTTAAGGGTAGGTAGTTCAGAGGGAAGCCTATAGCCATTCTACTGTCTATGCATTTACTGTGACTTGCACTTTTTACCTTTTAATTAATTGATAAATTGTATTTAATTTTTAGAGTTGGCTGCTATAGTTGAGACAGAATCAAATGCAAGCAAGTGGAAAAAAATTACAGATTATGAGAATGAAGACGAAGCCCCACAAATTGGTAATTTTTATGCTTTATTAGTTTCTACCGGTAAATTCCAATTTTCGAACTAAACGATCAAATTTTCAAATTAAATAGCACAAATTTTTGACGAAACATCATCGTTAATAACTTCGGAATCTATGAGTGAATCATCAACAAAACGGACTAAAATAAAAAGAAGTAGATCACCTTCATCATCAACTGCCGGAAAAATATCATCATCGGCCATGATGTCAACTGGACTTCAGTCTGCGGAAAAGGCACATAAAGAGCATGAATTACGACAAAAAGAAATTAAAGCTGAACTTGAGAGAATGGATCCAGAGTTATCGGGTCGAAATGCACCAACTGTGTATCGTGATAGAACTGGTGTGTATTTATATATGGTATATATTTTGTCCATATGTCTTATCAATATAATCATATCAGATAATTTTGTATTGTCTAGGAAGGAAGATTGATATAGCTGCTCAACGTGCTGAGGAGCGTAAAAGAATTGAAGAAGAAGAGAAATTGATGAAGTGGGGTAAAGAAGAAGAAAAGCGAAAAGAAGAGGAACTGCGTAACAAACCTTTAGCAATGTATGTTAATTAAGCTCATAAAGATGAATCTATGCTGTGATGCACCTAAACTCAAACAAATTTTATTTCCGATAGAATAATCAAGAAAGATCTATTCTATTATTCTATCGGATTAAATTTTGTATTTACTTCTAAGAAGTTTATAGAATTTAGATTGGTGCGCTGCACCATCTTAAATTTTGCATAAAATATTAAAAATATATATTAAATATCTTTGAATTATGTAGATATAAAGATGACAGAGATTTGAATGAAGAAATGAAAGCAAAGGAACGTTGGAATGATCCTGCTGCTTCCTTCTTATCAAAAGTAAGAATTCATAGTTTTATTCGTTTTTGTCATAGAAACTTGAAATTTGATAATATTAATATTTTCAGAAAAAGAAAACTAGCCAATCTAAGCGACCGAAATATGAAGGGCCACCACCACCACCTAATAGATTTAATATTCAGCCAGGATATCGATGGGATGGAATTGGCAAGAAAATTTATCTCTTATAGAATATTGTACGTTGAATTATCTGAATAATTATTTGTTTTATATTTTTATTTATTATTTGATCAGATCGATCCAACGGATTTGAAAAACAATCTTTCGAAAGGCAATACAGTAGAGCTGCTTTAGAGAAAGAAGCATACAGTTGGTCCGTTGAAGACATGTAACTGCTCCATTAAGAGTGACAGTTGCTAGAATGTTAAGTATTCAAATTTAATTTGAGATGCTTCGAATGGTACGAGTCACATTTTATTAACCTTATGGTATGATTTTATAAAGTTTCCTTTGAATATATTTATTAGCTGTTATCATCTTTTTATAGAGCGTAAATCTTTCGAACAATTATTTATTTTTCAGGTATGTCATCAAAAATAAGGCATTATTAATGCTCACCACCCTTTCAACAGCAAGATATAGCATTGATATCTATGTATAGCTACGCATGTATGCACTTAGCAATAGAGAAGGATCTAGAATGCACAAGTATAAATCTCACATTAATAAAGTTCATCCTCTCCGCATACACACTTTCGTTGGCACACATTTATTATATTAATGAGGATAGCACACATCAAAAGAAAACGCAATCAAAAACTTATTACTTTATTGGCACTCGTTCTCAAATTTTTTTTCGCCCAAAAACCTTGGATTAAAATAATATTGTGATTTACTAAATAACTGAACTTTAATCATTTAAAGGCAGCATAATTAGAAATCAACACTATCTAATTTATTTATTAATCTTATAGTTTAGAAGCATCACTAACATTTCTCGTGACCCCAAGTTCCAACAATTTTCCGAAAGCAGAGGCAAAATCATTAAAGAAAACCTTTTTATCTTTTGCATATATTTCCACAATCTCTCGGAATTTCGGATCAATAATTAAAGCAATATCCGCCGGCAACATCATTAATTCATCCTCATGGTCTTTAAATTGTATGTTACCATTCACATTTTTGACCGACCAACTTATACTTAACAGTAGAACGAAACTATGATGGCGATTGGTTAATTATATAATTATTAAAAACTGAGCATTATGGTAATGAATTTACTATGAAAATTCCATTGTGCATATCAACTTCCAAATATAGTAATTAATCATGAGAATGGAGTACCCTAGCCATGGCGAAAAAGTGTTCAGATCACGTGGTAACCAATAAGAATCGTGAATTTTTTGATCTGCTGGTGACACAAACCAATAAAAATGCGTAGATTTTTGATCAGCCCGGCAAAACAAATCCGACACAAGAAAATGAAAAAGCAAAAAAAGTAAAAAATACGGGAAACAGATGCCTAAATCTAGCTTGATAGACTAATAAAAAATGTCGGGAAAGTAATTTCATATATAAGTTTGACTCCAGACCTACCCCTAACCTTAACCTTAAATTAATCTTTGACAATAATTTCTATTATCATAGAATTTTTCCGAATATCACATGATCTAAACACTTTTTCGCCATGGCTAGGATATGGTTCATTACTTTGGATCTGGTTATCCATACGATACATTACCCCGTTCAGTAGTATAATAAAATATGTGGGTTTTCATAGCAAATTCATTCTGTAATGGATATATATATATGATACATACAATTGATTTGAAAATCGTGTGGGTGTATAAGTCCACGGACCGTCATAACCTGAACGATCTTTGTGACATCGACCGATGGAATGAGCACCAATTAACGCAACAATTTCGCTGAGATATATGACAAAATCTCAAAATGATGTTTTAATAAAGTATCAAGGAAAAACCATTAAAGTTACCGATCAGTGAAACCCATTCGATAGAACACATCACGAACATGTTGTTGAGTATGAGCAGCATCAGGCAAACGACCAATTGGTGGACATTCATCCTCTTGAGTCTTATCTTTTCGACCTGGTCTCCATGGAACAACTGGTCCTCCCATTTCTTCAATAGCAACAACTCCAGCTAATGTCCATAAATCAGCATCTAATTTGCAAAAATATTACTTATTTGATATGACGATAATGGACAAAATATTTATCTCAATTTATTTTTTGTTGTGCATACAAGATATCCATGGAAATTTTTGTTTTATAGGTTCAAGAAACTTTCTAGCATGTTCTAAGCCGGCATTTGCAGGATCATTCGCTTCCATGGCGAATCTCATTGTCGCACCATTAGAACCTCCAGTATTGGTATGAATATCGTAAGTGCCAGAAGCATGCCAGGCAAGTCTTACAAGTACTGGACCAGCTGAACCGTCGTCATAACCAGGCTGCGGCAGTATTTGTTTAATGGCTTCTCGAACTGCATTGTAATCTTTCTCGTTAGACATTATTGAAATAGAATTCTTGGAAATTGTATAAACAATCATGCAATCTTTAATAAACCGGGTTTAGTATGAACACGCTCAGCAGATTAATTCGAGCCAAAAACAGACAAGACTTTTAGGAGTGATTAAACACATGATAGGGTCATATCTGTCGATTAACCAACCAACTAAAGAGATAAATGGGAAAAAATGGGAAACTTTTTCGGATATTTCTTATTATGGCTGTACAAATAATTTGCTCACATCTTTTGGGCAACTTGCATCGTCCCACCACTGTTAACAATAGTGAGCTATTATGTCATAGATAAGTTTGTCATGTCATAGTCCTGTCTTAACCTCGTAGATCAAAAATAGTCTGTGTGCACCTTAGTGCTGGCAAGCGTTATTAATTTGATCTCGGCTGGAATCAAAGAACTATTAAATAAATACAATTATTTCTTCTTTCTTGAATATCCACCCGTTCGCTCCCAATAATATTCTAGAAAATCACGCTTATCCTGTATGCCTAAATTAGTTTTGCGTAATCTACTCATTTGACCAATTAAGCTTATAATTTGATAACCTGTTTGGTCTTCTTGTGTTAATGTTGCTGCTTTTGCAGCTGAATATGGCGTTGAAGTATTGGTGAGAGCTGTTGTGGTGATGGATGTAAAAGATGAAGATGATGGCGATTCATCGGCTGCTAGGAATTTTACGTTCATTTGATTTTTAAACTAATATATAGAGATTGTTAACATCGATCAAGATAAAAAAAATCAGCAGTTCTAATAATAAATCACCTCACTACAAAGTCTTATAAAATGCCAAAATTTATTTCCTGCTGTATAAGTTGGTGAGAAATTTTCATATTCATATCTGCCATCAATCATTCGTTAATGAATTATTAATAAATAAAGAAAAATGCATAGTATCAAACTCTTACTTTACGTTCAGAATCAAAATCTGAAAATCTTCAACAGGTAATGATAATTGTTTGAACACAGGGTTAAATTTCAATAGTGCACGGCCATTTGATGTTGTAGCCTACGAATTTATTAATAAATTAATATACACACATGATAAATATATCTTTATAACAAAATTACCTCGGGAAAAACAACGATAGGTCCCATATCATTTGATTTTGCCAACTTTGATAATTCTGTTATGCTATATGCTTTAACTCCTGATGGTGGATTTAACTCGGGGTATCGACCGGTTATCATAATGGCAGTCCATAACGAAATAGGACGCAGCGTATTAGTTGATACATAGAATTCTGTGAAAACGGGATCATACCTTAAGAATAACATTGAAAAAGTTACTTTGTATAGAATATAAGAATATCAATAAATACAACATCTATTACTAATATAATAAATAATCAACCTGAACGCTAGGTAAATGAGTTCAACATAAGATGTCCAGTTTGACACGATCACGTCACCCGATTTTATACGCGTCGAGTCAATAGTGCTGCGACTTTTTAATGTGTTTACTCTCCTGTAAAGAAAAACATCAGCACTATCATGAACCTTTATATAAATCAAATCAATCAGATGCTTACCCGCGACGTAAAGAAACGCGTTCAGTGCGAATCCAATAAAATCCCATAAAGAAGAGTGCGATTCGCGCCAAAATGCAGGTAAATATATAATGATAAACTCTATGCAGAGTTTTCACTTTTATCTTTTGTGTAAAAAAATTTATTAATGCGAGTGAAAACTAACATAATGACGAAAAGTACTCACTAAAAGTAGCCCCAAGACATTAACAATTAGAAACAGCAATAGCGTTGCAAGTATGACCAGCAAGAATTTGGCAAGCCCGAGAACCGATTTTAATAAAAAGGATAATGCTTTTCCAATTGTTTTAAAAAAATTTGACTCATTTCTTGAAGGCTTTAATAAGTGAGATTGAAGCGTTGGAATACAAGTAGGTGAAAATGAAAACTAATTCAGTAGAGGAAATATAATTACCACAGGTGGTAGAAAAGGTTGGATGCCGGTACCACTATCCTGAATTGAAAATTCATGTGAGTTTTCCAAGAAATGGTTTCATAGAACAATAGCTAAATACATACTCTCCAACGCGAATATTTCTCCATTGCTGTAAGTGCAATTTTTCAAATTCGCGATTTTATTGTTCTGATCTGCCTATCATTTCAATATTACACAAAATGCATTTGAAAATTCACCCTACAATATGCCATCTTTTGTAAATTCAACTCCTTTTATCACACTTGCAAAAAAAAGAATAACTCCTCAAAAATTAGCAGCTGTTCAAAAAAAATGGCATCCTTCCTTTTTCGTTCCAACTTGTAAAATTAATCATGAAACCGGTGCTAAATATTGGCGAAAGCCGAGAATTAGTAAACGCTTGCAAGCTGATATGAGGAAAAATTGTATTTATCTTGGTATTGACCCATTGAGTATTGGCTTGCCTGAGAAGCCTGATAGGAACCCACCTAGAACTAAGCCACCAAAGGGAAACAAGGCTGATAGGTTAAAGCCAATTAGGTCAGTTTATTGATAAGAATATTCTTCTCCTTTCTTTATATTAACATTTGTATAATAAAACGAAATCAATCACATAGACAAGCGAAAATTCAAAAAGCAATGGAAGATATGCCAAAAACTATCGAAAAATGGAGAACAGTATGCTATTTTACATCGTTTTAATTTAAATTCGTAAACTTTATATATACTTACTCGATTTATGCACACAATGTAAATTAGGAAAAACGTACCGAAAAGCAAAAGAGCAAGCCATCATTGCCATATTAATCTTATATATATCGATATATCAATACAAGTAGGCATTTTGTTAATATCATACTCATAAATTCCAATTGATTCACTTTAAAATATGAAAAAACACAGCATTCACAATTTTTATTATTTTCAAACGTCTGATGATTGAAGAATGATATTAAGGGACACAAAGGATTAATTAAATACACGGGTAGTGGAATGCTCATCAATAGTAAAAGTACAAAATCTATTATTATTATTATTATTATTATTAATATTAGTTATTATGCAAATGCTTAATTTATGGAATGTATTTTTGAGCATAGTGGGAAACTTGAATAAATGATTTATTGATCAGAAAAAACATAACAACAATAATTAAAGTAAATAATACTCGGATCATCCTATTTCTTCATCATCCCAAGCCCATCCGGGACTTCGATTTGGAGCGTTAGATTTTTCGAGTTGACGTGATTCATAATCCGTGGTATTGAGATGAGATGATGAAACATTTGTGGTGTTCCCATTTGAGGAGGATAAAGAATTAAGATTCTTTGTATTTGTCAAAGAGAAGTTTGACGTTGATTTGGAGTCTTTTGAAGGAGAAGTTGCAAATGGAGATTTTGTTGCTGTATTATTACCAGTTTCATCGTCTTCAATTTCGCCATCCTCAGTTGAAGATAGTGATGCCTCTGCTCCAACACAATTACCATTAAGGTTATTATCTTCTTTTGGAGCAATTGAATTACTTTCATCGGTAACTTTATCCTCTTCAACTTTGGCATTATTATCGTTATCAATATCGATATCAGTAATATCCAAATTATTATTGATGTCAATATGTTGATTTCCATTCATTGATACAAGCTCGGGAATTTCATCATTTTTCATTTTTTGCACATTTAAATCCGCAGTAATGTCCTTTGTGTTAATGGAAACAATCTCTCGTTTTTCATTTATTAATTTCTCTTCTTTTATTCGTTCTCCTCCGCAACATGAACCGCCACCTCCTCCTATCAATGGAGTCATCATATCTTGCTTTGGAATAAGATCTTCTGGTATCACTAAGGTTTTTCTTGACCTTTGTCCATTACTCAGTGAGAGTTCCAATCTCTTTACCAATTCATCATCACCTTCGGGATTACCGAGCCCTTCTAGAATATCCAATAACATTTCGTACTCTCTGCAGGACTTTTCATATAGATCAATTTTTTCTTGTGTGTGCGTCTTCAGATGGTAAGTGATCGCATCGAAAGCAAGGTTTATACGTTGTTCTGAAGGTGCGTTTATTAATGTGCTGTCGTCGTTATTATTTTTATTGTTAACGTGATCTTCAGTGGCATTAGAATTTTCGATGGGAGTGAAAAACGAGGCGGTATGCATAGGAAAAAATGACTCGTCAAAGTCTGTAGAATGATGAAGACTGTATAATTTTGAATATGGATAATATGACAGCAGCGTTAACGAAGCGTATATATAATGAAAACAATAGAGTATATATTCGACATCTTGCCTATTTATATTGAGACATTCATGCAAATACTCTGATCCTTGACCGGGAATAATATTAAATGGTATTGGTATCACATCATCAACAGATTCCATCGTCGTTTTGGTCTACGATACAACAGATAAGTAATCAATCGATAATTTCTTCAAATAACAAAAATTATGCTTGAAGCATGATTTATTATTTACTCACATACTTATCAGTTAATTATTAGCCTTACCTTCTTTTTAGTGCTTCTTCCACCACTAGTTGATCCTTCAACATCTTTTCTTTTCTTGCCGATACCATTTTGTGATTCAGGTTTATTATATCTCGTCCGTAGAGTCCTTGGATCGGCAATATCCGTAGTGCTAGCTCTTCTGGTCCTTGGCCTACTTAAAGCCTCGGAGGAAGTAGCCTGGCCATATCGCCATACGGAATTTAGATCTCCCAGTTGATGATCACCTTCTTCATCAAACACATTCGACTTCTTTTGATTATTAGGATTATTGTCACTAGTAGTACTTACCGCTGCAGCCAGTAATGAAAGTCCGTCGATTACGGGCATAGTATTTTCAGTGACAATTTCGTGGTTTATTATTGATATATCTCCTTTCACGTCGTCTGTCAGAGTTTGAAATCTATTCAGTACTTGGGTCAATGTCGGTGTAGAAACAAATGCTTGTGCTTTCGTGTAAAAATTTTCATTTGACGACGACGAAGGATTAGTAGAATTATTATTGGCTGACGTCATAGGTCCACCAATGACCATTCCAATTAGGTCTTGAAAGAGTGCACAGGATTCTTCAACAATTAGTGGGGCAATTTCTCTTATTTCATTCCCTATTTTACATTGTATTAAGAAAGCGAAGGGTAGGTTTCAATTAGATGTTTAAATTATTTTATCGTACATCGGAATGAAAAACTTACCTGGATGTTGACTTAAATAATTCGCGGCAATTACTTTAAGCATTGCCTTTTGTATCGAACTAAAATAAGCCGAGGCTATACTCGCAGAATCACAATACACAAAGACATCTGCAGTAGGTGACTAGACGAAGACAAGAACTGTCTTCAATGGTGGTGAATGTTCTTGATGGAAACGAAGACAAAATAGTAAAAAATGCAACGCGCATAACTTACTGCGAACCACCCTAGCACTGTTTGACCATTCCAATTCATATACTTGGAGATCGTGCTGACCAAATCATTCGAACTAGATATATATGGGATAAATCCCTAAGATGTGGTCGCTTAAATGAGTACTTTAATCTTGATCTGGAGCATTTCTGACACTAAAGTTAGAAAGGTACCTTGACTTGAATAACCAAACCGCGATCTAGACATTCTTCGCGAATTCCGAATAGAATACCTTGCGATGGCGTGTCATCGCTGATCGTAGTTGGTTTTAGCCTGACAAACAGATCTAAGCAGAGTTGTTGGTGTGTGAGATGATTTGGTCTGTTTACCGTTAAGGAAAAGTTTTACAAAAAATATATACGCAATAGATTCTAATAAGAAATGAGAGATCTAAAAACCAAAAGATTACCTTTTGGAAATAGAATTGTAGGCATGGCTCGAGTTCCGTGTGTGCGTTATGTATGTGCGTATGGATAGTGCAGCCAACTCGTTAAAAACCGTGATTTGCCACATTTTTAACATTTTGTGATTTTTGGTGAATTAATCATAATTAACAGGAAGAAATTATATTAATTTCAATTTTTATCAATTGTGGCTCTATGGTCTAGTCGTATGATTCTCGCTTTGGGTGCGAGAGGTCGCGGGTTCAATTCCCGCTGGAGCCCAAATGGATTATTTTGTGAAAAAGTAAACACATTTAAATTTGTATCCTTTATTATATATCATACGCGTTTCATCATTATTATTCTATACTAATTTAGTTTAAATTATCGCGTTCTTTCCTGCGTTCAACTTTTCCCATTGAAACAAAAACATCATGTCTTCACAACCAAAACTGCGTTCGCGTCAAAAACATCAAGGACAACAGACCAACGTGACAGACCCTCAAAATGTTGCAAGCCCACAAAAAAATCAACATCTCATACGCCGACAGCGAATCGTGCGTCAACCAGGCTTTTGGGAAAGAATCTTTAGTGTACCTTTAGATTATATCATAATGGTAATAAACGAGTATGATTCTTTTGACTGGGATGCATGGGGCCCTTTCTTAAGGTATGTTCTCGTTTTATTTCCAAATGATCTTTGCTTATTTTAATTGTGTGAAAATTTTACAAATTGCAAATATTATAGTCTCTTGACAGCTATCGCGTTAAACTGTATGTTGATTATTGTGAAAATTTGTTATCGATTTGATCGACCTGAATTTTCTTTTGAAGAAAAGCAATTAGCGGATAGATCCTCTTACGCGTTAAAAGTGCGTGACTGTATTTATTGGAATGATTTGTCATTGAGAAGATGTAGACTGAAATAATGTTTTTTATTAATGCGACAATTTTAGTTGGAACTAGCAGAATATGGGTTTTTAATAACAAGCGTGGTCAATTTCATCTATCTTGCAGCGCAAAATAAAAAATATCAAATGTTTTACTATCAGAAGCTGGTAAAAAATCGTTTATTTTTTCTTGATTAATTTAATAAACTTTTTCACCGTTTAACCTTTGAATTAATAAAAAAGGAGCAACCATTGACTTCAAACGCACATTTGATCAAATTCAATAATGATATGCCTTCTTGGATGGATTCCTATTATGGCAGTATATTGTGAGTTACTGTTTATTTATTTATTAATATATTAATATATTCTCAATAATAATAATAATAATAATAATCATTGTTATTATTAGATATCCCATATATAGCTATTTCTTTAAATCGAATACTTCTCTTAGCCAGAGCCAAATATGGGAGTTAAATATGTGGAATCCATCAAGTTTCTCATTACACTTATTTTGGTAAGTCAGTAAATAATAGATTGTTATTATATCCTCTTTATTGACTCAAAAATTTTTTACAGCTACTTTTCTCCTCCGCAAGTAATGGTTTTGATGGGACTTAATTCTGAAAATTGGCAATATTATTTTCCGGTTGCTGCATTCATTACATTACAGGTAAACATGTGGTTTCGGAACGCTACAGATAGTAGTGATGGTATATAATTATGTGAAATGAGTGGGATTTACATACCCTGCACTTATATGGTCGATTATACACCACTACTTTCTGTAACACCCATGTTTTCGCAATATGCAACGGCACTCGTTAATCTCTAAAATTGTAATTCAGGTGTATTTTCTAGTGAAAATCTATACAACTTATGTCGAAGATAAACAAGTTCTCTTTGGTGAAGTAACTTATGAATATGATAATAAATTTGTTTATCCAACTATCTTCAAGAAAAAGAACGATATAGGAACACAAACGGATCCACTCATAGAATGGGATATAATACAATAACGATTCTCGTCTCTATTTCTTATTTAATAAATATATGTATGTTATACAGAAGATTAGCACATTATTAATGAGAATTACAGATTCTATAAGTAGATTCCTATTTATTACATTTAATCGACTGAAAGATTATCTGTTATCCAAGAGCATGACATTATTATATTTACACACCATCATGGGCTGTGAAAGTAAGAATGGAGTAACGAACACAATCTCAGGATGGATTTTATGTAAAGGAAAAAATGATTTTATCTATAAGAAATTGTATTTGTGACCACAATGCGAATAATAATGATGCTATTTCGTATTATGAAAATTGCGTGTATGCAAAAGAGAATTCGAAACATAAAGATCGTAAAATAAGAAAGCCCAGCACCCATTTTCTCTATGTTTATATAAAATAGTAATAATGAAAATAAAAATACCAAAAAAAAAATACACAAATAAAAAAGTAATTAAGCAGCAAAAATTACATTAAAAGAATGAAAGGGATACGAGAAATATTTTTCTCCGTTTACCTTTGTAACTTAAAATTTAAATAAGAAAAAAATATAAACGAATGATACCCACCAACTATTATTACTGATAAACGAAAAAGCAGGTTTCGTCCATCCTTTCTATCATCATCTTCATCATTAATTATTATTATTGAATAATAAATTAATTAATTAATATGGTTGTGTTCCGCTACTTAATAAAGTATTTTGCGCTTTTCCTCGTATGCTTAGATTTAGATTAAATAAATAAGTTTATTGTTCTTGCTCTTCTATTTTCACATTATTGTCATCCGTTGAAGATTGAGCAAGAGAATCGATGATCACTAAGGGAGGAGATGATTGTACTTGTGAATCACTTCCGTTTGATGTTTGTAGCGGCTGTTGTTCTTGTTGCAGCGATTGCTGCTGTGGGTGTTGTGATGATAACGGTTGTTGGAAAAATGCAAGCATCTGGGGATTACTTATCGAAGAAGGAGTTGGTGGTCCAGTGTTCATCGGCGGAGGAATAGTTCCACTGGAGGCGAGCATATAAGGATAAGCATTTGGATTAAACATTGCAGCCGGATGTCCATACATGCCAGCAGCAACAGCCGCCAAAGCTGTAGGATGAATGAATGTTGGAAAGTGACTCATGTGTGGATATGGAGATGCTTGTGGAAATGGTGAATGAGGATGAGGAGACATTGGAATATTATTCATGAACATTGGAGTTGGCGGTGGATAATTTCCAGATTGAGTCGATGAAATTTGAGCAGATGATGATGGAGTCGATGAATTTTCATTAGAAGGAGAAAGAATAGCAGTAGGTGAAAGTTGATCAAGTGGCGAGGAAGTAGGATTCTCTGATGAGGGAGTTGTAACAGATGTCTGCTGCTGTTGTTGCATATGTTGATTTGCATATGCTGCTTGAGCTGCAGCATAATAAGCGGCGGCGGCGGCGGCAGCAGCGAAATCTGGGGGTACAGGACCAGGATAAAGTCCTTGCGGTGGAATTCCTAATGGCGGAGAGAGTGCACTTAAATGAACTCCGTTAATAGTTGGATCTCCAATCATTCCTAATTCTTCTAATAAACGTTTATATCCTTGAACTTGCTGAACTTTTAATTTCCCTAATACTATTCTTACTTTCTCCACTAATCTTTGTCTCTCTAATGGATCAATATAAGGACTACCTAATACTTTTTGCACCACACCAACTCCATGAACTTGGTCGTTAAGAACATCCTCTAAAACTTGGTCATTAGGTGAACAGAACAGAGATGATATTGTTATATCACGTGCATCTGGTTCTTGTCGTTGATTGATGATTTTAAGAACGGTAAGTGACGCGAGTTTGTGTGTGCACAAATGTCCTAAATGATTTGCAAGTCTTGGTGCCAAAATACGATATCGACCAGGGAAAGATGATGTGTCGAGAAGCCACGTCAATAAGAGAGCTCCATTGGGATTGGTTGATAGAGGGACAGCATTCATCACAATAGCAATGGCAACTTGTTTCTACATAGAAATTTTTTATTAGATACCACAAAAAATATAGAGAAAAAAAGAATAAAAGCTCATTTTATTACCTGTTGTTTTTTGCTGACATATTGACTCTCTAAGCAAGCCCTCATTGCACGCGCTCCAAAGCGTCCTTGTGCGACTTCTAAGCATCTGTCTACCATAGCATCAAAAATAAATTGATTTCTTTGAGTCCCCAATCGGAGGCAACATTGAACCACATAATTCCCAAATTGATCAAGTAATAACGGGGGCGTATATGGTTTGACTTTTGTAGTGATAATATTCATCTATATATAATTCAATATTGTAAACAACTGCGCTTACTTTATAGACAAATATCAAATAACGATAAGAGACTTACTTGTGATGGTGTCTTTACGCAATCAATGATTTTCTGTGCTGCCCAAGTTCCATTTTTATGAATACCTATGGTGGCCATGTGAGGTGCAATTTTCTCGAGCATCTTCATCTTTGTATTATCGGAACATCTTTCAAACAATTTTTGAATTACGGTATTTCCAATGTAATCTTTTTTTTATTGAAAGAGTATATAATTATGCGTCAAAATTTAAATGATTATTAACTCTTCTATGTCATAATTAAAAGTAATAATAAAGAAAAGAATTTACCACTTGATAATTCTACACATTCTTCAAGAACTTCAGAAGCGAGGGCTTCAACTTCTTTGGCTAAGCAATGTCCACTGTCAAGACGCTTTCTGATTTCCCTTAGTCTAGATGCATCAGGTTTACGATTAGGATTGGGATCACGAACAGGTGGAATAGAAGTGAAGTAATTGGTAGGTGGTCGGTTATCTAAAAAAATTATCTTTGGTTATTAATTTACTATCTATTTCGATATATATATATGTGTATATTTACTAACCATTTACATCGTCTATATCATCATCGAGACCACCACTTAATTCACGCATCATCAACTGCTTTTCTGTCAAACCGCCCGAGGCATTAACCATCAGCATCATCATCATGTTATTATAATTTTCAGCTTGACCATTCCATTGTCCAGGTGTTTGATTTTGAAGGTGAGCGTCGTCGTTGTCTTCGTCATTGTCATCGTTGTCGTTGATGTTGTCATTGTTGCTACTACTACTGTTATTATTAATACTAGTGCCGTTATTGTTATTTGTGGTATTATTACCATTATTGGATGATGATGTGGATTGATTACGCTCATGATGAATGGTGGGAGATTCAGGCTCAGGGGATGATGAAGGCGAAGGTTTTGACTGTACTTTTGCGTACCCGATTTTTACAGGCCCAACTGCACTTCCAAGAACTTCTTTTCCGTGTAATGATTTCTTTGCTTTGATAGCATCATCTAATTTCTCAAAATTAACAAATCCGCAATTCTTGTGCGTAAGAACACGTGCAGATTCAATGGCTCCATATGGTGAAAAGATATTCTGGAGAGTCTGTGGCGTGGTAGACGTGGGTATATTCCCGACCCAAAGAGCCCGAGTCGGTTGTAATTGAGTTTGAGAGGAAAGTGAAAGATCATGTGAATTTAATGCATCGGATTTCCCGTATCCTACACGAACAATGCAGTTTCCAACTCTTCCCCCCATTCGATTCATTATATCATCTTTGGCACGAACAGCGTCTTCTACGCGAGCGAAATTCACAAAACCGCATTCTTTGTCTGGTAGTAGACGTAGGCTTTCGATATTTCCAAATGGAGAAAACAATTGATTGAGATCCTGTGTAGTGAGAGAAGGATCGATATTTCCAATCCACAAAGATCTGGTTGGAGTTTGGGGTGGGGGAGTACTCTGTTGTTTGATTCAGGTGTAAAGGGGACGAGGAGTTGATACACCAGAGCGTGCAAGCTGAGCAACATTTTTTCAAGGTTTTAGAATAAGAGAAAATACTGCCATATAGCTGCCAAATATTGGCTTCTCAGGCATACGATAAATACCTCAAGATCACCATGGTCCATCAGATATTCCTCTTCGACGTGAATCTGTTGCTGTTGTTTTTTCTTGCCTTCCATCATTCCACTCACCATCATACCTAATAGTTGTTCTCCGCCTAATGACCGAGGAGGAACTCCACCTCCATTATTGATCGATTGTTGTGTTTCCGTCATTTCATAAATTTGTCCATTTCTTCCTCGTAGCACCATAATTTCATTCGGTAAATCCAAAATTCCTAAAGAAATAGCTCGAGGTCGTGAATGTGTTTGATGAAATTGTTGAACTGCAGCATTACCAGGAGGAAATAACGTATTGGCTGCGATCGATGCAGTTGGAGTGGGCGGATCATCATATTTAGCAGTGGCTGAAACTGAATATGATCGAATACGGTTGGCATCACGACGAAGTGCCGGTATGGCTGATATAGTTGGTCCAGATTGAGAATATGATGGAGAATTAGACTGTTTCATATCTACTTTGATCTGGGAGAGTTTGGAATTTCCTGCGTGTTTTGGTAAACCTCCCAATGACGCATGTTCATGATCATCCAGACCCAAATAGTCTAAAGTTTTACTGACAGTATTATTTTCATCACCACGAAGTAATTCACCTGTGGTGGGCGTGGGCATGGGTGGTGTTGGAGGGCCATTATTTTCATTACGATGATCCGACCATCCAGTAGTGAATATAGATGGTCCAAAAGCAGCAGAAAGAGAAGATGAGGGTAACGTTAGTGAACCTGATCGAAGACGCGAAGAGGCTTTTGGTGGCGAGAGTAAATTTGTTGGTGCTTGATTTGCTTGATTTGCTTGATTGACTAATGATGATGAAGTGTGATGACCAACTGAAAATGGTGATCTACCACCAGATAAATTTGATGGTAAAGTATCAGCACGCGCACGGCGGAAGGACTGAGGATATGGCGTAAGATGATCATTACTGCTAGTGCTATTGGAGTTTGACACTGATTTATTGTTGACAGACTTAAGAAATTCAATTGCTGATGCAGAGTTCGAATCCGATAATAGAGTTCCATTATTAAAAGCGCCGCTAGTCGAAAGTGAGGGAGGAGGAAGAGCTGCAGATCGATAGGGAGACGTTATTCCTTCTTCAGCTTGAATTTCACGAGCTCTACAATATGTACAGATGTGTCATATTATTAATTACATCAAAGGATAATAATTTTTTTTGGATGAAGCATTAATTTAAGGAAATCTTGTTTTTTCTTCATATCAGAAAGTGAGAGCTTAGAAAAAGTTAAGTGTTATTATAAACGCAAAAACAAGAGCTATTCCGTATGACTTGGCTCCTTTCCAGTTATATCCATGTATGGATCGAAGTACTAACCTTTTTGAAGAAAAATATCTGGCTTCATGCTGTGGTGAGCCCCCCGTGCTATTTGCCGAATACGAGTCCTGACCCAGTTCTGTCTGTTGCGAATTCATTTTATTACAAATATCTTTATAATTATAATATATACTTTTTAAAATTAAAGTGCATCAATTTTGCCCAGCAAAACGTGATGGAAGTGTAAAAAAGACCCAATATTTATTCAAGCCAATTAAATAAAAGTTTCCATAGGCGAACCACAGTTCGAAGGTTTAATAAATAATATTACAGAGCGCTTGTGTAACGATTTGGAATTAGCATTTAAGAATTAAAAAACACCCAACCACTCTATTATTATGAAAGTTAGGTTAGAAATGAGACGTATGGATAAGAATAATTATACGACAAGAGTTATTAGTATTATATAATAAATTGTAATTAATATTAATTGAGAAATTATATTAAAGATTAAGAGATTAAGTGAAGTTAAAGAAATAAAGTTGAAATATATTATAACCCTCCACCTCACACACTCGGAGGGATAACGTATGTGGTAGGGTGAGGCAGAAGATTGGACGTACTAAAACGGCTGTCAAGGAAAAATAGTGACACTTACCTAAGAAATAAAAGAAATAAATGATTGGCTTTTCAGGGGTTTTTAATGAAATAAATATTAAACACCACATGGTAAACGACGTTTTTATCTCAAAAAAAGGGGATAGTTTATTTTCGGAACATGGCATTTACACATATTTTAGCATTAAAAATCAGGGTTAGCTAATTTCGAGGATATACACTGCAACGAAAAATATGTTCCAATAGGTCAGAAGTTATCCTTTGTGACACAATGTAGTCTTTAATATCTCCAAGCTACCCCGTTTTTTCAAGCCTTGAATCACGCAAAAAAGGGGTATATAGCTTATTTTTGGAAAGCGCATGCAGTTTACTTTTAGTATAATAATTCGATCTACCCGAATGATAGCTAACTTCGTTTTCTTCTTAAAGCTAATAATATCGTAACTTCGAAATGATTCGCCGTAATGACTAGAAAATCTCAATATCCCACTTTTCCAATTCGTACTACTTGCATTCGACCAGTCTGCCTTCTATGAATTTATTCACTTGTTTCGCAGCTTGATGTTACATTACCACTTGTCGCTTCACAAAATTATTCAGATTTCCTTTACTAATTACGTAGTTGTATTACATTATAATTAAATCAATCTTATTCGATTTCTTTTTTTGTCAAGTTCTTCTAAAATTGATGACGATGATGATGAATTCGATCCTTGTTCATATTCACTTTCCATTATCAGTGTGAAATAATGTAATTCTACTTCGGATTCTTCATCGTAGTTTGGAGATGGGGGATGTGATGGTGGTGACTGCATATGAAGTGAAGACAGCGAGGACACTACTGATCCGTCCTGAATGTCAGCAACTTAAATCTACTAAATATTGGTGGTTGAGCTTGTAATTCAAGCGATAATCCCGAAATTGATAAATTCATACAAAAAATTATCAATACAATCGAGGGATGTGATAATGGTGGCTGCGATGCGTTAACAGTTGACGATTGATATGCTGTTAATGGTTGATGTGGCGGTGATTAATTGATTATTCATGGGTTTCTTCTTTGTCTTCAATATCATCCTCAGTTTCTTCAACATATAATTCTCAGCTTTTCATTATGGATTCCTTCTTTGTCTTCAGCATGATGTGGTGTGACGGTTACGCTTTATAGTGCGTCCCATATTATAATTTATGGGCGTCGTAATTTAGTACGATAATCATCTCTTCCTCGTTTCTAAAAACGCAAATAGACATAGTAGTTAATATTTATTTATGGCAACTAATTAAGATATGCAATACAGAGAAATGAAGTCACGAAAAACCCACTTACTGTTTGAATCTGACAGCGCATACCGCACAAGTGGTTTCTCAGGCATTAAATCTTTAACCATCGTCACAACACGCCTGAATATACAATACAGATCTGGTCTCAGGCGCTAAACGTTCTCCGGGGACGCATCTAGTTGACTCGCGGACTTTCAAATTGTCACAAAGGATACCCTCTGACATGCAATACTAACCGATCTAGCAGTCTGATATGCAATACAGATCTATATCTCAGGAGTTAAACATTCTAGCTGAAACGCGGGCTTTCGATTAACCATGTCGCAAAAGACACGTCTGATATGCAATATTTGGTCTCAGGCATCAGCACACTTTACTTGAGACGTAGTCTTTCGAACACCTAACACTTTTAACCATCATTCGGTATCAAGCGTTAAGCGTTCTACTTGAGATGTAATTTTTCGTCTTTAACCATCGTCACGAAGGACGCGCCTGATATACAATATCTGGTCTCAGATGTTAAGCGTTCTATTTGAGACGTAGTCTTTCGAACCCCTAACACCTTGCTACGTCATATGGCTTGTTCAATTTTATTAAATTAAAAAAAAATGTACTTAACCGAATCCCTCCCTCACTTTAAATGTATTGTAATGGTTTCTCTTTTGTTGTATGTGAGCTTCTTGTGGGTTTGGGTGAAGACGCGTAAAGAACAATCATAAGTTTTATCGATTATAGACCAGCAGCCAATGAGAATGCAGAAATTTTTGATCACCAATAAACTAATTAATATAATTAATATTACAGTAGAATTTTCCGAGCTCAACCAATTTCTATTGGTCTGTTGATGTACCGGAATTTGGAACTTGATGATGTTTCAGTCAGACCGGAATGTCGGTCACATTCTCTCAAATCCGCCAGGGCG